CCAATTAGTAAGAATCATCAATTTTAAGTCATTAGCAGGATAATGCAGGATAATGTACTTAAATTAGATTAGAAAAATGGTTTCTAACATTTCTCTTCTAAAATACAGGGATCTAAAAAAAAGTATTTAACATTTTCTGTAGCTTTAGCAGAAAATAAAGAAACAACAAAGAGTAAGCAAGTGATTGTGGAGCACTTGGTAATAGAATACAAGGATATTTGGTCAACATATGACATGTGGTCCATACTGTCAAACGAGTCATAATCCCATGGGAGGGGAAGGCTGTTGTGGTTATCTTGGAAGTGACAGAATCAAACTATGTGACCACATGAAACATTCCACCTGGTCTGATAGGTGGACAGGAGGAGAGTTGTTTTTAAATGGCTTCCTACCCAGTGGTACTGAGATGATTAAAGAAACCCGTATCTAAATATGTACTTAGTGTGAACAACATTTTTCTAGGACAAAGATCATTTTTCTACTTTGGTGTGTCTTTAGGGCTTAATATCACTAGATTCACAGTATTCCCTCTGTAAGTATCTTCAATTGTTGATACTATAGTTGATACATTTCATAGATGAAATTCTTCATTTTCCAAGGTAGATAAGAGGACTTTGATTAATATGTAATGGGAAATATCTAAAGAAAGCTTAAAGAGCAAATTAGCAATCATAAACTCCCTTTAAGAGTGTATACCATATATGTAATTCTCTAATACCTTTACTCTGAAGTTAACCATTCAAAGTACTAAATACACTGATCTAAATAAGATTTTCACATCAGCTGATGAAGGAACAAAGCAATGTATCCTATCTAATAATAGACAAACATGGTAATTGACTGTACCTTCGCTATGCCTCCCATTGGCTAATCAGTGAGATATGCAAATTAACCTCCAACAAAGATGGCGGTTAATTTGCATATGTAGGCACGAAGCGGCGGAGTGAAGACTGAAGGTGGCTCCGGCCAGAGCGAAGGCCTGGGTCACTGGTGCCGGAGGAAAACCGGTGCCAGCAGTCAGGGGAAGGGAAGGCCTTTTGCACGAATCTTTTCATGCAACAGGCCTCTAGTATATGTATGAAATTAATTAGAAATCACATAAGAATTGACACAAACTAAATGATTATTAATTCCATGATTTAAAATTTTGCAGACATCTAGAATTGGGTCCTGAAATATGAAGGCAAATGAGATTATAAAGAACAAAGCATATACATTTCTTACCCATTTTCCAAACTTGTAAATGTTAGAAAATTAAACATGAGACTAGCAATACAATTTAAAGTATTCTTGGGTACAAGAATTGGCTGATTCTAGACATTTATTTCTGCTTAAGATATTTAGATGATACACCTATTTTAGAAACCAAAGAAAAAAAAGCTTCTAAATTGAGTTATAAGAATAATGTAAAATAAACAGTCCTACAGTGTTTATAGTATATAGTGAATTCTCTGTTAGTGAAATATTTTGAAAGACAATTTGGTTTTCATACACAAGGGAATTTTCCCCCCATGGACATCTACTGTGAAGAGAATAAAAATCAAATAGCAAAACTTTAATGTGAATACAACTAGAGCTAAGAGCAAGATTCACTTGTCATTTCCATGACTATTCTAAATATATACTGTTTTCTATTTCCAATCGTCAAATTTGCCACTTAAGTAATCACTAACTAATGACACAGCTAGCAAATTCATAGCTCTTTAGATTTTTTTTTTTTAGTGTGATTGAAACATATTTTAGAGCTTTAGTAGGATGATGGCACTCAGTTGCCACATTAGTTCAATATTACCTTAAATCCTTTTAGATACTCCTTGATTTAAGTTGGCTTATATATTAAGCCATCGAAGAGTTGATTTTTGGTAGGAGAAATTCATATCATAAATAAAATAGAACATATAAAGTAATAACTAAATTTAGACTGAAAATGAAATAAAATTTACTTTTGCTTATGGAAGTTTTATTAGACTTTGAATAAGCACCTAGTGAGAAGAAATACGAATCATGTAATTTGCTGACTTTAAGCAATTTTGAAAGAGAAGCCTATTCTGAAGAAGAAGAATGAGCACTTTCCAATGGCGATGGTTTTAAAAGTTGATTTGTAGAGTGAACAAGGGAGAAAAGCATTCCTAACCTGGCCTGGATACTTTGTCTAATGTTACTCTGGCTCTGATTTGTTTATTGCCACACTGTCTTCAAGACAGCTTTTTAATCCTCTCAACTCTTGGATTTACTTCAAACTTCTGAATAAAATTCTTAATTTGCTAACCTACATGGGAGACTCTCTGGCATTTTGAGTCATGAAGAATAGGAAAAGGACTAGGTACACGAATGAGCATGGAAAGAAGGACCGGGAGCCTGCACTGAGCAGCCCAAACACGAAAGTGTGATGGGACTTGATTGTTCCCTGTAGCAAATTTGAAAGCAAATACAGCAACTCTTAGGTGGCCGCTTGAAAAGAACAGTGAAAACACAGACAAAACCATAGGGGACATACATCATGCATTTAAACTATGAGTTTCAAATGGTATTTTATCTGGCCTTTGGGTAAGCAGCAAATTAAATTTCCTTAAATTATTTTCCCATGAGCATAGGGAAAATAATTAATCATAGTAAGAATAACAGTATATGCAGGAGCAAAACCCTCAAATCATGTACACGCATACAATTCTTACCTCAAACTAGAAAAACAGCCAAAATAAGAAAACCAAGCAATCCACAGTTCTGTCCTTTTTTGAACACTGAACCAGGCTCAAAAGTACAGAAAATATTTAAACTCAGTGCTCTCAGGATGGGGAGCACGGCCGAAGCAACAATGACTGGAAGACACTTTCTAACTCACAAAGAAGTTGAATCTTATTTGGCACCAGTGGAACCAATGGAAGAAACCAGTTTTCATCTGTGTTGGATGATGGAGCAGCTGATTCATTTCAAGGACAAAGAAGAGTTGAACCAGAAATCAAGGCCTCATGATGGGCACAAAGACCAATGATGTCAGACAAGAAGGGAGAGACAGAATAGACAACAAACATAACTCTAGTAATCACTTGCCTTTAGCAAATGTTGAGGCCTAGTGACTTGGGGCCACTCCAGAGTCTCAGGTCAGGTTATAGGAACTGCCAGCCATAAGTTGTGGGATGGACACAGAGCCAGCAAAGAAAGACCTACTGATTTTCCAGAGCAGGTAACTTATCAGGTGAGTTATTTTGACAGTTTTTAAAATGCCAAATATGGGCTAAAAGGGTAATTATTTTAGACTTATCGGTATCTTCAAACAATAAATAAGAAACAAAAGGAATCAAAGGCTTTTATTAGTGGAGGGAAACTTAAGTGCAGAGACTTGAGGTTCAAAGCTATGAAATATCACCCAGCTAGTTAAGTAGGAGTCTCTTCCCTGCTCCCGGGCTTCCCTGCCCTGCACTCTCTGCCAGGAAGGCGAGTGGCATCCAGAGCACCTGAGGAGGGATTACCCACAGGGCCTTTAGAGCTAGGGAAACACTACAGAGACCAGAGGAACAGGTGATTTCTTTTTTAGAGAAGATTGCAAGGGGTTACAGCTTATGTTAAGGGGAGCAAATGCCTTGGGCCCAGATCCCTCAGGTAATAACCACCAAGAGAGACATGTTGGGGATGAGGCACCTTCAGGAGGAGGTGCAAGTTGTTCTGCAAAGTTATAAACATGGAACAGCAAGGTGCCAGATTTTTTGCCTCCCTCACTGTTCCTTTCTCCTTCTGGAATGACACTAGAAATAAATGTAGCTAAGTCCTGAAAGTGATCCCAGGGGAAAGAGAGCACCCAGACTTTCACCAACAGGGAGGGCTACTGGGTGTGGTAGTGGGTTTTAATGTTTATGAGGCCATCAGCAAACCGAGATTTGGTAAAGACGTCCCACATGGATTTAATAGCCAGGACTCTAAAGCTGCCCAAAGACAAAGGGGCAGCAGGAGACAGTTTGGGAAAGACTTGCTGAGGTCTTCTGGACACCTCAGCAGGCTGGCACTGTGGAGAGATCAGGCTGGATGGTTAAGATAATTGGAGAGTGGAGCACTAAACAGGCAGGTGGAGTGGAGGAAAGGAGCCAGCAAGAACTGCTTCTAAAAGCCCGACTCAGTTACAAATGTGCATTGGCCTCTAGGCCAGTGGTTCTCAACCTTGGCTGCACATTAGAATCACCTGGGAATCTTTTTAAAATCCTGATTTCTGGGCCTCATCCTCCGGAAATTCTGTTTCTTTGTTACTAATGTTGTGGCCCCACCCCATAACAAAGAAACAGAATTTCCGGAGGATGAGGCCCAGAAATCAGGATTTTAAAAAGATTCCCAGGTGATTCTAATGTGCAGCCAAGGTTGAGAACCACTGGCCTCTAGCCATGGGGATTAAGGTGTGGAGACGCCCGGGCTTCTTCCTTCCCTAATTTGTTGAATCAAAGGGCACCTGAGGAAATCTGAAGGAGGGAGAGTTTACCCCAGGGTGGGCGGCGTACTGTGCCAAGGACCCGTCAGTAGGGTTTGCAGGGAGGCGGAAGGTAGATGAGCAGGGCATCTCCTGGGAAGCAGAGGGGAGTGTGGAGATCTCTGCAATTTCGCCTTAGAAGTAGCACAACTTTAAAATAAATGGACGCCCGGGGGAGTCATACCGCTTCCATTCAGGTCAGGGTTAAGAGACAGGAGTTAGCTAAAGCCTCCGGAAGAGAGTTTACTTGGTTTCATCCCATTTTTTCAGATTTCTCCCTTGTACTCGAAAGAGTTTGGTCAAATCGGAATGACATTTGGAGGGTAAGCAAGCAATCAAGCTCAAATTGTACCCTCTCAACCCAGACGCGCCTCTCACCTGATTTGGGGAAGGGTGGCCAGCTCGGGACGGGCGCGGACCCGAACTGTGTTCGCTCTGCTTGGTCCTCGGAGCCTCCCAGTCCAGCCCATAATTAGGACAACTGACAAGAAACTAACCACCTCCGCCCACCGCCCCCAAGCCCGGCCCGCAGTCCGCACCCACTCACCGGTGCCTGGGCCGCTGCGCGCACGTCGGGTCGAGAGCTGGCCGCTCTGGTGCGGTTATTCGCGCGCCGCCTTGGCGTCCGGGCTGTGAGCCCTACTCCGGGGTCCGTCGGGCTGCTCCGCACCGATCGCCGCCGCGGACCGGGTGGAACCGCTAGCCGCGCGCCTGCTCAGGCACCCTGTCTCCAATGATCGGGCCCTGGCTGACAGGAGCTGGAATCATCCGCGAAGAGGCAGCTCGGAGTTTATAGGGTGGGGCGTTGCTGCGAGTGGGTTCCTGGGGCGAGGCTCTGTTTTGCATTCCCTCCTCCTCCGCTCCGCCCCAGGAGACCCTCTCGGCCAACCCTCTTCCTCTCCAGCTGCTAACGGAAGCGGGATGATGCCACAGTCATTCCCAGTGTCACCTTTTAGATCTGGGCCCACCTGTCCTGGAACCCGCTTGGGGAGAGATTAAGAAAAGGAAGAGAGCTGGGGGTCCAGGAGCAGCCATTCACGCCAAGAGTAATGTTCTTCTACTTTTTTTTTTTTTTTAAACTTGGAAAACTTTTAAGGCTAAAGTAGGGAGTCCTTTTTCCTGTCACTCAAACTTGGGCTTTACTGTTGTGGATCACAGATGACCTCATAGATAAATTTCAGCTAAAGGGTGAATTTTTTTTCTCCTATTGGACATCCTATCAGAATTTCATTTTTTAAAAACATAAAAGTATAAAAAGCTATACTTTTTATAACAAAATATAACTCAATATTTATGGAAGAATTAATGTAAATTCTTTATAAACTCTTTACGAAAACAAAAGAGGAAGTATAATTTCCAACTCATGCTATCAGTCCAGTGTTACCCTGATACCCAAACTAGATATCAGGAAAAAGCTACAGGCAAATATTTCTTATGGATATAGATAAAATGAAAGCAGATAATTCAGTAACATAAAAAGGATTATATACTGTGACCAAGTGAGATTTACCGTAGGAATGCAAAATTATTTTACAAAAAATCAATTGATGTAATACACTGTTTCAATAGAACCAAAACAAAAACTACAGTATCATCTTAATACATAAGAACAAATATTTGACAAAATCCAACACCCTGTCACGATAAAAACACTCAACAAACTAGGTATAGAAAGAAACTCCCTCAGACTGTGAAATCTATCTATGAAAAACTTACTAACATCACCATGGTGAAAGATAAAGTTTCTGCATCTAAGATCAACAAGGCAACCATGTCAGCCCTGCACACTTTTATTCAACATTGTACTAGAGATTCCAGTCAGGGCAATTGGGCAAGAAAAAGAAATAAAAGGCTTCCAGATTAGAGAGGAAGTACAAGTATTTGCAAATGACATGATATTGTTTGTAGAAAAGCTATTATAACCAATGAACAAATTCATCAATGCTTTAAGATATAAGATCAGTATACAAAATCAGTTCTATTTCTATACACCAGCAATGAACATTCCAAAAGTGAGGTGAAGAAAAACTACATATACCATAAGTCAAAAGAATAAAATACTTAGCAATACATTTAACAAAAAGGGTGTAATTCTTGTATTCTAAAACCCAGAAAACATTGTTGAAAGATATTAAATTAGACCTACATGAATGAAATGACAGTCTATGTTCATGGATTGGAAGATAGTATTATTAAAACAGTAATAGCCCTAACCAGTTTGGCTCAGTGGATAGAGCGTTGGCCTGAGAACCAAGAGGTCCTGGGTTTGATTTCGGCCAAGGGTATGTACATTGGTTGTGGGCACATCCCCAGTAGGTAGCTGATCGATGTTTCTCTCTCATCAATGTTTCTAACACTCTATCCCTCTCCCTTCCTCTCTGTAAAAAATCAATAAAATATATTTTAAAAAGCACAGTAATAATCTGAAAATGATGTAGAGATTAAACACAATTCCTATCATAATCCCAACAAGAAGTTTTTGAAGAAATTAAGAATTCTAAAATTCATATGGAAGTGCAAAGATCCCAGAGTATCAAAAACAATCCTGGAAAAGAAGGACAAAATAGGAGAACTCACAATTCCTGATTTCAAAATTTACTCCAAAGCTATAATAATCAAGACCGTGTGTTACTGGCATAAAGATAGATAAATAGATCAGTGAAATAGAATTAAGTCCAGAAATTAAACGAACACATTATTGTCAATTGATTTTTGACAAGTGAACCAACACAATTCAATGGGAATGAATAGTCTTCTCAGCAAATAATATTGGACTGGATAGTCACATGAAAAAGAATAAAGGTGGGCCTCTTATAATACCATAAACAAAAATGAACTCAAAATGGATCATAGATATTTTCTCCTTAAAAAAGGATCATAGAACTAAATGTAATAAGTAAAACTATAAAGTAATAGAAAACATGGAAGTGAATCTTTATGAATCTGGGTTATGCAAGGAAAATTGGTAAATTAGACTCATCAATATTAAAAACTTCTGTGCTTCAAAGGTCAAACATTAACAAAGTTGAAAGGCAACCAACAGAATTAAAGAATATATTTTCAAATCATATATTTGATAAGGACTTGTATCCAGAACATATAAAGAAAATGGCCAAAAAAGATGGCCAAAATGGCCAATAAGCACATAAAAAAAAATGTACACCATCATTAGTAATAAGGGAAATGAAAATCAAAACTGTAATGAGATATCACCTCATGCAAATTGACCATACCTTCACTACACCTTAAGCCAAGCCCACCAGCCAATCAGAGTGACTATATGCAAATTAACCCAACCAAAATGGCGGCTGGAAGCCACGGAGCTGAAGCAAACAGGAGGCTTGGTTGCCCCAATGATGGAGGAAGCCAAGCTTCCCAGCTGCTGCAGCTGACTCTGAGCTACCCTCAAAGCTACAAAGTTTTAATTATAGAAGGTAAATAAATCCCAGATTTAAAAAAAAGAAAAAAAAAGGAGAGATTGGGAGCTTCTGTTGCCAGAGGGGCTTGGCCAGCCTGAAAACAGCCCTCAGCCCCTCATCCAGACTGGCCAGGCATCCCAGTGGGGAACCACCACCCTAAAGGGGTTTGGCCAGCCTGAAAACAGCCATCAGCCCCTCACCCAAGCTGGCCAGGCACCCCAGTGGGGACCCCCACCCTGAAGGGGGTGTGACCAGCTGCAAACAGTCATCAGTCCCTCACCCAGGCTGGCCAGGCACCCCAGCGGGAACCCCACCCTGATCTGGGACACCCTTCAGGGCAAACCAGCCAGCCTCCACCCATGCACCAGGCCTCTATCCTATATAATAAAAAGGTAATATGCAAATTGACCCTAACAGTAGAATGACTGGGAATGACTGGTCACTATGACACACACTGACCACCAGGGGCTAGATGCTCAATTCAGGAGCTGCCCCCTGGTGGTCAGTGCACTCCCACAGGAGGAGCTCTGCTCAGCCACAAGCCAGGCTGATGGCTGCCAGTACAGCGGTGGTGGTGGGAGCCTCTCCTGCCTCCTCAGCAGCGCTAAGGATGTCCGACTGCAGCTTAGGCCTGCTCCCCGCTGGCAAGTGGACATCCCCAAGGGCTGCCGGGCTGCCAGAGGGATGTCTGACTGCCAGCTTGGGCCCAATCCCCCAGGGAGCGGGCCTAAGCCAGCAGGTGGACATCCTCCGAGGGGTCCCAGACTGCAAGAGGGCATAGGCTGGGTTGAGGGCCCCCCTGCCCCCGAGTGCACAAATTTTTGTGCACTGGTCCTCTAGTATGAGAAATAATGTGCCCTAAACTTTTGTCAGGGTTAAGGGAAAGAGTCTATATAAAAGCTTCTTTCTAATGCTGTGCCTGGCACATAGTAGGTACTTTAATAAATGGCAGTAATTTTTACTGAGAAGCAGGCAGTTTTGTATGCTGGTCAGGGATGTAGTAGTAGTTTCTTGATGCTTTAAAAAAAAAGAGATAAACTCATTGTTATCTTTTTGATTATTTAATTTGTTCCTACTATTTAAAATTTGAAATTTTGATGTAAATGAAGTCTTCTTTCTCTCTTTCCTCTCTGTATGTGTCATATAAGGCAGGATTGGAGGTAACTGTCACATGAAGTTGGAAGTGAGAACACAGAACTAAAGGGTAGTGGGCATGGCAATGCTAGATGAGTGAAGGCAGCGGTACTTCACTTCTGTGGCAGCCCAGGCTCAGCTTGTGCCAGATTTGAGACCATCTACGAAAGACCCAGTTCTGAATATTAGACTGGAGTAAAAATCAACAGGGCATGCAAAAGAAGTGCAATGCCTAATATGTTTACCTGTCACAGTAATAACAATGCAACTTAAAACAATAAGCTGCAGTTTTCCACTGATAAAATTATCAAAGATTAAAGACAAAAGATAATAACACCATAATTCAGTTTTTGATGGATGTAGGAAAGCCACTCATATGTAGAAAAAAATGATACTGTAGTATTGTTGCATGCCCTCAGCAACCAGGAATTTATTTTAAATAATAATCATGAATATATGCAAAGATTTATATATAAGAATATTATGCATAATATCACATTATTGGAAAAACCTTAATGTTTTTCAATAACAACAACAATAATACATCTAGAATAGAACTTATCCATTGAGAATAATGTAGAAGGCTATTTAATATGGATAGTGTTCATGATATGTAAATTAGCAAAAATCAACATATGAAACATTATGTATACTGTTATTCAAAATATCTAACCCTGGCTGGTGTGGCTCAGTTGGTTGTTTATCTTCAGTGCACTGAAGGGTTTCCAGTTTGGTCCCTGGTGGAAGGCATGTGGAGGCAGCAATTGATGTTTCCCTCTCACATCAATGATTTTCTCTTTCTCCCTCTTCCTTCCTCTTTCTCTAAAAATCACTTTAAAAATCTTTAAAAATATATATATCTTGAACATAGACACAAATATATACATACACATGCATATGCAGAAAAAATTGGATGTATATTCACTAAAATGCATACAATGGTTATTTCTAAATGTAATAATTATGAGTATTTTTAAATTATGTTTTCTTTTTATGCTTGTCTATGTTATCAAAATTTTATATAACAATTACAGCACTATAAAAATTAGCAGAATGTATAAGAAGTCAGAGAACTTAGCACAGGAACTGTTTGGAGAGCAAGGATATCAGGGGCACTTTTGTGGACAGTTCTTGCTGACACTAAACTTGAAGGCCCAGTGATTTCTGCCCTGTGAGTATGCCTATGCTTGCACTGTTTTTGAAAATAAAATGTAGCATGATTTTATGGGAGGAGATGTTATTAGGAGGTCACAGACCTGGAGTCTATTTTCCATTCTCTCAAGAGGCATCAGTGGAGCTTGGCCAAGCTAGTTGACATCTGGATCTTCCGTTAAAATAAGGGTTTTCTAATACCCTGTTTAGT